AAATCTTTTAACCCTCTCAGTGGTTGTTGTTGTTGTTTGCGATCCGGCCTCTGGTTCATGACAGTTTAGTGTAAAATACTTTCACACAGCAGACATGTTTCGATGAAAAGTTTGTTAGCTGTTAGCCACAGTGCTGCTAACTCGGTCCTCACGTTGTAGCTGGCTGCAAACTATGAAATGGATTTCCTGAATGTGAGGCGGGTCTTATTACTCTGGGTTCATGAGACACGCCGCCGTTCAGGAAATCCATTCTGTAGTTTGAAGCCAACTTGCATCATGGATCGGAAATATCGGCAGGTGGATCGGAAAATCCGATACGTAAATTATGCTGGTATCGGAGGCTGATACCGATACTGGATCAGATCGGCCCCATTCCAAGTTAAGACACAAAACTTCAAAACAAGCTTAAATAATACTGGTATATATTTTTCTATATACCATACTAAAAAAAATAATAATTTAGCAAAAGAGGCTCAACACATGTCAGTAATTCATACTATATCAAACAAAGGAGTGGTGGCGCAGAGGTTAGAGAAGATGGGCCTGTTATCAGAAAGTCGCAGGTACAACTCCCCGGACTGACAACATCTAAATGTGGGTGGAAAAGGTGAAACACCCACACCTGCCTCCACCCTCATTTACCCCACTCTGGGCCCTTGAGCAAGGCCCTTAACCCCCACCATCTGCTCCCCCAAAAATAGTCTCTCTGGAAAATGAGTTCTCGTGGCTCAGTGAGGCTACCTGTATAACTTAAGGGTAAATTAAATTATTTTAAGATAATATAAGATAGAACTTTTTTGATCCCGCAGGAAATTGTTGTGCCGGAGTTTCAGTACAAAGGAAGATACACAAGGAATCACACAAAATATATGAAATAACATAATATAAAAAATAACAGACAATATAAAAATACCAGCAATTAAGTTCTACAACAGGTGCAGACAGAAACATTAAAGTGTTTATTGTAGTACAGGATTAATTTTATTGTCCTATCTATGTGCAGAAAGGGGGAGGAGTTGAAAAGTTTGATAGCCACAGGGAGGAAGGACTTCCTGTGACGTTCTGTGGAACACCTCGTTGGTCACAATCTACGACTGAAGGTGCTGCAGTAAGAGTCCAGTGTGTCATGCAGGGGGTGTGACGTGTTGTTCAGGATCTGGAGCAGTTTCCGCAGCATCTTCTGCTCAGACACCTCTGTCAGAGACTGCAGGTCCACTCCCAGAACTGAGCCAGCTCTCTTCATGAGTTTATCAAGTCTGTTGGGATCAGCTTTCTTCACCCTGCTGCCCCAGCACACCACAGCGTAGAAGATGATGCTGGAGACCACCGAATGGTAAAACATTTGCAGCATGGTCCTGCAGATGTTAAAGGACCCGAGTCTCTTAAGAAGAAAAAGATGACTCTGTCTTTTCTTGTAGAGGGCGTTGGTGTTAGCTGTCCAGCCCAGTTTACTGTTTAAGTGGACTCCCAGGTACTTGTAGCAGTTCACAGTGTCCACCTTAGTACCCTTGATGTTGATAGGGTTGGCGGTGGGGTGTGGGGGTGGTGGATCTTCTTCCTGGAGTCCACCTGCAGCTCTTTAGTGTTTCCAACGTTGGGTTGCAGGTGGTTCTGGCCACACCACTCCACAAAGCTGTCCACTTTCCTGGTCACCAGTTATGCAGCCCACTTTAGCTTTAGCTTGGAAATGGCCTGTTGTCAGTGAAATTAACTTGGCCATTTTAGTTAATTTGAAATTAATATGAAGGTTCATGATCTAAGTAAGGCAAATGAAATTAAAATCTTTCCAACCTTTGACAAGCCTTTTCAGATATGTCTTTGTGTTTCCAAAGACTTTTTTTCTGTGACTAAAATATTGATTAGCTTGATTTATCTGACAGACTGCTGAAGACTCTCAGTATAATTCTGATCACTTTTTTCAGATTGGATTGTACAGAAACACGCTTCTCTCAAACGGGTAAAAATGTAGGTTACCATCCATTATTTATTTTACTTGCCTCTTCCTTTTTGTGTCACGGAGGTCACTGGTGCCCATGTCCAGCTATCACTGTGCAAGAGGTGGGAGACACCCTGGACATGTCACAAGTCCATCACAAGGACACATAGAGACAAATGAGACAAACAACCATTCACTCTCTCACTCACACCCAGGGACAATTTAGAGTTACCAATCAGTCTAACATGCATGTTTTTGGTTTGTGGGAAGAAACCGAAGTACCCAGAGAAAATCCACACATGCACGGAGAGAACATGCAAACTCAAAGGCCCCCGGACCGGGAATTGAACTGGCGACCTTCTCGCTGAGAGGCAGCAACTCTACCAGTTGTGCCACCATGCTGCCCATGTAGGTTGCCTTTATGTTTATTCAGGTGATGCTGCTTCTCAGCTGTGCCGTTTCCCTTCACACTAATTCTGGCTAACACTTAAATATTTGATCCGCTTTTTTTATTGCAATTATTTAAAGCAGAACTTTGATTCAAGCAGTCAGATGATCAAGGGTAAGGCAAATGTCTAAAAATCAAATGAGCTAAAATTAGATTTGTTTGTAATTGTTCAGAGCATGCATCAGGGTAATTGTTCAGACTTTTTAAAACCAACATAACACAATCTGCTTATTGTCTCTATATAGCTGAAATATATGTTTAACATACACTGCCTGGCCAATAAAACCGTCACCACCTGGGTTTAACTAAGCAAATAGGTACGAGCCTCCTATTGGATAATTACTGCATGGGCGATTATCTTTCAGCTGGCAATAAGTTATTTAACTCCAACTGGTGCAATGAGTTGCTTCTCATTTCTTAAACAATCATGTTGAAAGACACATCGTGTGGTCGTGTAAAAGATGTCAGTCTGTTTGAGAATGGTCAAATCATTGGCATCAAGCAGAGAAAACATCTAAGGAGATTGTAGACTCTGCTAAAACTGGGTTAAGAACTGTCCAATGCATTATTAAAAACTGGAAGGATAGTGGGGACCCATCGTCTTCAAGAAAGAAGTGTGGCTGGAAAAAAATCCTGAATGATCGTGATCGGTGATCACTTAAATGTTTGGTGAAATCAAATCGAAGAGAAACAATATTATCACGCAGGGCTATGTTTAATAGTGAAAGTAAGAGCATTTCCACACGCACAATGTGAAGGGAACTCAAGGGATTGGGACTGAACAGCTGTGGAAAACCACTAATCAGTGAGGCTAACAGGAAAAAAAAAGGCTTCAATTTGCTAGGGAACATAAAGATTGGACTCTGGAGCAATGGAAGAAGGTTATGTGGTCTGATGAGTCTAGATTTACCCAGTTCCAGAGTGATGGGCGCATCAGGGTAAGAAGAGAGACAGGTGAAGTGATGCACCCATCATGCCTAGTGTCTAGTCATCAATGCAAGATCTTGATGAAAAATTAATGCAACACTGGATGGAAATAGATCTTGTGACGTTGCAGAAGCTTATTGAAACAATGCCACAGTGAATGCTGCTGTAATCAAAGCTAAAGGTGGTCCAACAAAATATTAGTGTGTGACATTTTTTTTGGTGGTGACTTATTTTTTGGCTAGGTGTATTTTGTTGCATGTCACACCAAAAAGCCTAATGCGACTGCATACAGTTTTTTGTTTTGTGAAAATATTTAACCAACTTTTAGCCACATGATACAATCAAAAATGTCTTTTGTGGATATACTTGGATTTTAGGTTAAATGAAAAGCAAATATTAAATACTGAAGCAGAATATCCTGATGCATGCTCAATAATCCCGGTAGATAAATCTAAACAAGGTCAAGTCAGGTCCTCTGGATGGTCCAGAGGACCTGACTTGTCCTTGTTAGACTGAAGAAAAACATTTGGGGAGTTTGCTGCAACAACTTGTAGAAAAGTCAAACATTTGTCAGATGAGCTGAATTGTACACTAATTATAGATTTAAAGGAAACTAAAACACTAACTTAAGTTTATCTTTCAACTAAATTCCCTTAAAAGTTGTTTATGGCATGTATCGTTATGTAATCGAGTTAAAACGAAATATTCTAATATAAACAAAGTACTGGTAGTAATGGTGCTGAACTTTATGCTGCTCTGGTTTTCCCACTGGTCACCACATTAGCGGCTGCCAGATGAGCTGAGGGTGTTCAGATTCGTGTGGATTAGTTGTGCATTTTCTCTTCTATAGGTTTCACAGTATTCTTCCTTCCTTTTTAAAATTAAAACTATTTGTATTCTTCTACTAGCTCTTAAACCAGTTCAAGTTATTTATTTATCCTGCATGATAAAACTTCTTAAACTTTAAAAGTTCTTAAAATGTTTATTTCCTAACACTGTATCTGCATCTTGTTTCCTCTGTCATTTGTTCTCATCAATAATTGATCAACCTTGGCACATGTGAGCGCAGCGCACGTGTGGGCAAGAGAACGACTAAAACTTATAAAAGGTTGGCTGAGGAAGAGGAGGGGAGGGAGATGAAGGAGGCAGGAGAGGAGGAAAATCCACTTCAGGCTGCCTGGCGTGTGTGTGTGCATACTTCAGAAAGAGTTTTGTGTGGTGAGTGTGTGGGTGCGTCATTCAGTCGGCCTGGGCTCTCTCTGCAGTGCACTCTCCTCCCGGCTGAGTGGAAACATCATGCGTCTGTGGGACGTCCAGAGGAACAGTCCTGTTTCTCCAAACTGAGACCAGAACAGACAGTCTGAGGGACAACGAAAGAAAATAAATGCATAGTTAACTAAAATTAGAGAAACCAGAGGATTGTTTTTCACACCTTCAAGCAGCTGGACCCACCACCTCAGACCTGGCTATGCCATGCTGGCCCAGAGGAACGGGCTTCCTCCAGGCTGTAAGCCGGTTCGCCTGAAGGATCACCCCGATCTGCAGGATGTGGACAAGAACGCAGAAAGCTGCTGCTCCTTCTCTTCATCTCCAACATCTGGAGGTTGTCCCTGGGCTCGGCTGGCCGGTGTCGATGGCTGCCTGTCCGAGCCGTACTGCCTCTGGTTCCAGCTTTTGGCCAGAGCCTACTGGGGTGAGGTGGAGCTGGGGTTGTCCAGTCCGAACCGCAGCATGTCCTGGGCTCGTCTCCGAGAAGCGTCCAGGAAGAACTGCATCCGATCTCGGGTAAGGGCATGGAAACTTCTGCACGAAGGATGGAGAGCATCCTCGCGGAGCCCGTTTAAAAATATTTTGCCGCCTTAGAAACACGTTAAAGGCAGAGGCGTTTAAGTTTACAGAGAAAACATTTGGGAGGGGAGGAGAGATTTGGGATGACTACACTTTGTTGTGCCGCCTGAGGAATTTCATGTGCGTCATCCTGCTCTCCAGCAGCAGGGTAGTCCTGTTTCACTGACCGATATCTGTTGCAATGTGAGTGTGTTTGTGTGCATTTGGATCAGGTTTAGGCTCTAACGATGGTTTCAGGGTGACATTTTCTGTTTGCTGTCAGGAGACATTTTTGTTTTCATAATTTCTTCTAAACTATGATACCAGAATTTGTATTTTAGTGCTAACATTAAATCACTTTTTAAAAGGAGTATGAAAACTGAGTTCTAAGGTGACTCACTGTCCTAAAGCATAATTTGTAGAAAGGCTAAGTCCGCACACATTGTCATTCAAATTTAGTCAAACATTTAATCTCGGATGCGTAAAAAGGCAGGGATGGGCATGCAAATGTACCGTCCTGCAGGCTTCGGTACCATATGGCAACGCAGCACATCAAAACTGCAGCTATCACAATGACAGTGACTAATTTGAAGAGCAGATTGCATGCATAATTAAATAGCATTTTATAATATGTGCTTATTTGTAGAAACTTTATAGTCGCTTATCTTTTAAATATATCCATTTCTACTGATCCAATGCAAGTCTGTGGAAGCAGTAATGCTATCTTACACTGCTTCGCTGCTGCTTCTTGAAGAGATAAAGTCTAGGTGCCTCTGCTATGGGACATTTCATTCAAGTTGCCTAGCTGTGTCATAATGCAACATAAAGATTTTGAGAATGAAATCAAATCAAACAGTGGAGGTTGCATCATCTCCTTTCCCTCTTCTCTCTTTCCTTCCACTTACACTCTGGACTGTGGTTTATGCCCAGCTCCACACCACTGGGTATTGGTAGTGATTTCACCAGTCAAACCATTAAGCCCGCACCCTCCCCACACTCTGGAGGGTTCTCTGTCAGCTGATATTCACAGGAGATGTGTGGAAAGAAAAGCCCGAGGAGCAATCAGGGAGAATGTCTTTGTTTTGGATCTATAGCTAAGATGGATTTTAGTTGAAGAGCGTGCTGAGTGATTTGGATTAAGGCTGAAGCTCTTGGCAGGTTCTTTTAGCCTGGAGTCACGATGGTAATGCTAGCTGTAACCGCTAACGCACGCTCTGCAGCGCAGCGTTATTTTGATGATAGATGGGATAGGAACTTCATAATGGCGGGAACAGTTTGTGATGGGTTTGTAGAGTCACTGCGTTTACGAGGAACAGAATAAGTTGTGTATGTGAGGCAAAGATCAAATCAATGATTTAAATATTTTATTTGAAGTATCAAAAATTGTTTAAATGTCCTCCCTTCATGACGGTGCCATCTTCTGACGACCAAATATCTTTAAAGGTTGAAATACGTATAAGACTAAATTAGTTGTTTAATCATTTTGCAGTAATTATAAAAGAGTTGTTGTAAACACAAAAGTGACATGTTCAGAGCGTTTTATCTGTTCAGGTTCACCTGCTTCTGTTTGTGTTTTCACTACGAGTGTTTATGACCTTGTTTTCAGAGCATAAACCACCATCACCAGCTCAGATGTCTGTTGTTTCAGCTTGGAAGCAACATTCATCCTCTGTATTGATTATAGATATTTTCCATGGTCTTCCTTCAACATGAAGATCACCATGGTGGTCAAATACATGAAAATAAGCTGACTATTTGACAGTTTAGCCCCAAAGATTATTAATAATAATAATAATGTGAGATTAGACAAATGTAGTATCAATAAATGTTTTATAGTCCTTTATAGTCCAGCATCAACCATTTATTCTTATTACATATCCAGTGAAATATGATATTGACATAAATAAATACCAAATCACTATGGCAAATGCTGAAAAGTAACACAAACTGGTTTTAAAAACTTGGTTTTTGACATTTCAAACTGTGTCAGCCGCAATTTTGAAAACAGCAATATAGTGTGTGACGTTGCATCAGAGACCCGACTGCCAGATTTCTATTGCACAAGGTTACTGTTGATAATTTACTTCTAACTGTTCCTTCTATAGGGCGTCACAGTGGCTCAGTTGGTAGAGCTGCTGCCTCTCAGCGAGCAGGTCGCCCCGGTTCAAATCCAGACCTGGGATCTTTCTGGGTGGAGTTTGCATGTTCTCTTCGTGCATGCGTGGGTTTTTTTCCAGGTACTCTGGTTTCCTCCCGCAGACCAAAAACATGCATGTTAGACTGATTGGTGACTCTAAATTCTCTCTAGGTGAGAGAGAGAGTGAATGGTTGTTTGTCTCGTTTGTCTCTGTGTCCCTGTGATGGACTGGAGACATGTCCAGGGTGTCCCCCGCCTCTTGCACAGTGACTGCTGGATATGGGCACCAGTGACCCCCGCGACCCGAAAAAGACAAAGCGGGTAAAAATAATGTATGGATGAATGTTTGCTTCTAATATTCGGGGCAGGAACATGTGGAATCGATGCGTTGCACAGTTCAGTGTGAATACAGGAGTTAGCACCCATTCTGTCCCAAACGAATCAAGAAATGGGTGAAGTTTGTCCACGTCACATGAGCAGACTTCATAATGTGTACATGGATACTTTAATCATTAAATGAAATAATTTGACACTTTGATTCTCGGGATTATGAGTCGGACAGATGTAGCGGTTTGGATTTTAAGGAAAGTTTATCACCACACAGAGATGCTGTGCCAACTATTCAGGCAGTTCCACTGTGCACATGAACTGGGAAACTTGAAGGATCAGACAAACCTGTGAAAAGGGTGCTCACAATTGATATAAATTATCTGGATTTGTTCCTGACCACCTGCACGCTGTATGAACCTGTTTGTTTTTCCACAGGGTCTTATAGTCATCTTCAGAAAACAAGCATAGCCTGAACTGACTCTGTCAACTCAGCTGCAAGGGCCATTTGGGACCGAGTCAGTCGCTGTAAACTTTTTTCTGTTGTTGTTGTTGCAGAACCCTTAGTTTTGCAGCTGATAGTCAATGTGTTCTGTTATGTGGACATGTTTGTAATGTTACGCAAGCAGAGCGCTACCAAGGCTTGTTTTTATCTTGTGTTTGGTACTGTAAGAATGTAGAGGACATCTTTCATCATGAAAGCATGCAAAATAGCCCAACAAAGCCTCAGTTGTGCAATAATTGGAGCCATATGGAGAAGTGTGTGGGGCAACACGAATTAAATGGTGATCCTGAAATTGTAGTTGGAAAGTGAGATCTTTAGTGTGAATAAGTAATAAATTAACATATTTTTCTGTATTCTTAGCCACATTTGTGCAATTTTGATACAAAGTATAAAAACGTGACGAATAACATTTAGTCAACACGGTCTCATGAGCATGACTTGTTCATTAATGGTCACAGTTTTCAAGCTTCAATAGATGGAGTGAAGTTAAAATAAAGATGTGTAAAGATTAGTGAAGAATCTGACAAAAGGATCATCAAAGAAATGAGATGGTGCTTTTCTGAGTTGTACCTGAAAACAGTAAAAAAACAAAACAAAACACTTGTATCCTCATGTTTACCTACAGGTGATATTGCAGAAAACCTTATTTTCTCTAATAATAAATTATTTTTGATCAACAAAATACAGGAATTATTTATGTCCAAACTTTATCCCAACAAATAAACCTTGTTTTTTTTATCTGTGAAACCTAAAGTGTCACCTTTTAATCAGCTTTAAAAACCTGTTCTTCTGTGAAACTTGCAACTGGTAGAGCTGCTGCCTCTCAGCGAGCAGGTCCTTGGTTCAAACCCCGGTCCAGGGGCCTTTCTGGGTGGAGTTTGCATGTTCTCTCCGTGCATGCGTGGGTTTTCTCCGGGTACTCCGGTTTCCTCCCACAGACCAAAAACATGCATGTTAGGCTGATTGGTAACTCTAAATTGTCCCTAGGTGTGAATGAGAGAGTGAATGGTTGTTTGTCTCCTTTGTCTCTATGTGGCCCTGTGATGGACTTGCGACCCGTCCAGAGTGTACCCCGCCCCTCGCACAGTGATTGCTGGACATGGGCACCAGTGACTCCCGTGACCCAAAATGGAATAAGCGGGTAAAGATAATGGATGGATGGATGGACTTTTCTGTACTTTGTGTCTGAGCCTGTTCACACAGAAAAGGCAGATTAACAGGAAATTGTATCAGCAGTAACAAAGAAAGATATCCACAGATGATGTAAATGTATAAGGTTAGTTAAGGATGAAAAAGTCTCTTCAGTTGAGCAACATTATGAACATTTTATGATTTACTTTTAAGACTCCCAGAAGGGAAATCCATCAAGAGGTAGATTGCTCACTCCATTTGTCCTCACTAAAGGAGAGGTCACATTTACATGTTGCCCAATTTAAAAGGGATTTGGAGTTTTCAGCTTTTATTCCACAGAATAAAAGTAGCAGAAACTTGTAACTTTGGCTGTTGCTGTTTTTTTTATATAAACTTTGTAAATAAAGTTCATAAACCAGGTCATAATGACATCTCTTGTAACGATTATGATGAAAGTTCAGGATTTTACTATTTTCAGAGAAAGGCTTTTTATTATTAGACCACTCATCACTGACTTATGAATCATTCAGGCATAAAAACAGCCCCTAATTTCAAATATTAACCAGTTGTTGTTTTTTTGACACAACTTGGCAAAGAACCAGTTTTAACTGGGATTTTTTCAGTTCTTAGTTACCAGCAGCCTGCCACTAAGACCTGCTGTATTTGGTTTTTAGGTCTGACACTTCTTTTAGGCCTCTGCTTGTCTGCTCTTCAAATCTTATTAGGTCCCTGTCATGCACAGGGACTGAAATAAAAATAAGGGAGGGAAGTCTTTAAGAAATTTTTCAAATGAATTTCAGAAAGTTTGAAGTATTGCGTCAGTCTGGCTCCTGTATAAAGAGTGTAAAAAGTTGGGGTTGGTTTAAAACTTTTGCACAGTACTGTGTCTTGAAAGTGCAAAACAAGTAACTACCTCAATATTTTAAACTTTCTTCATCACAGTTTTTATTTGTCAGCAGTTTATTTTGTAAAGATATAAACTTAAAATTGTTTTTGTTCTGTTTTCAGTCCAAGCAGAAGGATGGGCGTGATCAGAGCGAGGCATCGGCCCCCGTTTCTCCCGGGGGGGCGGAGGAGCCGTTCTCTTGGCCGGGACCAAAGACGCTCCACCTGCGGCGGACCTCCCAGGGCTTTGGCTTCACGCTGCGACACTTCATCGTGTACCCGCCGGAGTCCGCCGTTCACAACTCCCTAAAGGTAACAGGTTATGTTTCAGTGTTTTCCTGCTGTTATTCAAGGAGGGCGCCCCGCCCTGTCAACAGGACCGAGCGCCCTGCCTTGTCCTTCACACACAACTCCACCCCATCCCTGTTGACAATTGCCAGCACTGACGTAGCGCTAAGCTAGCAGTGGTCAATACTGACGTGCTAGCTGTACAGCTACAGACATAGTGCTCCGCTTCTCTCACACATAATCCCACCCTCGACAATTCAATTCAGTTCAATTCAGTTTATTTATATAGCGCCAAATCACAATTGAGTTGTCTCAGGACACTTTACAGGAACATTCACATACAGTACATAGAGAAGCCAATTAGTAAAGTTCTCTATCTAAAAAAAAATTCACAGAAGAGTTGAACACCCTGCCAAGGCAAGTGACCTGAAGGAAACACTGCTTTTTACTTCTTTAACTACACTGCAAATAAAGTTTCTAATGCAGGGCTATTCAACTAAACTGCTCAGGGGGCCACAGTTACTGAGAGCCAGCAGCCCAGGGGCCGGACATCCAGCAATTAAATTCATTATGTAATTAAACCAAGTACTACAATGATCTGTTACCTTTTAAATTTGTTTTGTTGCATTGAATCAAATGAAATAAACAGAACCCAGAACACCCCCCACCCCCCTCAATTTTTTATTTCTTTTAAATAAACTCATTGGAAGTCACTCGCAGTCCGGAAGTTGCCCTTGAACCACTAGTTGAATAGCTCCATTCTAAGCTGTGGCTTTCTTAATACAGCGTAATGAAAATAATTTCTAAATGTAGGACAGTCTCCCCCATAACAAGTTTTCACTTAAACAGGTGATCTGAACAGGTTTCCAAAAGGTTTCTCAGATTTTATTTACATTTCTTATTCGATTTTTATTTATTTTTTGAATTATATGGTAATGTGCAAGCGTCTTTACACCAAACGTCACCTCAAAAACATCTGAGCCATCTTTTTGGCTGCGTTGGGACTGATTGAAAAACAAAAAGTTTTTAGTTTATATCAGATTTGTGTGGTCTTGAATGGAAACCATTATCAGAATTATATATATTTTTTTAAATAGTAATTTTTTTCTGTTTGGGGGGTTATCAACTGCAGCTTTCTGATGCCGCTGACATTTAAACTTCACAAACACACAAAAGTTTCCTCTCTTCCAGAAGCTATAGTTTTTTCCATCTCTGTGCGGCTCTTCAGTTTCCATTGTGCAACTGTTGTGAGGAGAGAGGAAGCATTTCCCCAACTTGTCCTGTATTCTGATGTCAAATCTTTCCTTTAATAACATCCTCTGTGTTCATGCAGGACTTTCAAAAATAATGTAGCAATATGCATTTTTTGTAAAAACAAAGAAGAGTTTGAATTCAATACATAAAAGTGATCCAAGTGAGAAATGTGTTATGAATGGGGTTATAGACAATTCTTTAGTTTTTTAACCTCACATGAGAACCCTGCCAGCTCCTGTTGGGATGAAAACAGCTTCATTCTGCATCTTCTGAAGCAGAGGCAGCTTTGGCTCTGAATGGGCACAGACTAATTCCTGGTGCATAGCAGCTGGACTCCCTTAAGGGAGAAAAAAGGCTGGTGTTTTCATTCTGCTTTCTGAAAGCTTATCAAAACCTGCTCAGATGAGTTTTTGTTAGCGATAACGTGGGATAAGTCAGGTTTACGTTTGTCTGAAGTGTATTTGGTTAACCTTGTATGTTTGCACAGAAAGATTTCCTACAAAGTTAACATGGTATGTCTAGTTTATAGCTTTTGGCTTCTGTTCTGTCTGCTGTGGCACAACAGGATTTTCAGACATTTGTGTAACCAGAAAGATATTTTGGATATCAGAGTGCTGTTTTGGGGATTTAATCTTTATTTCAATCAACTCATCTGCCACTTCAAGGGCTATAAAAATTTAAAGAAAAACTGTGCACATTTGATTTGTCACTTCTTGTTGTAATTACTCCTGAAGTCTTGAATCAGGAGCTTTTGATTAATCAGTATTTAAAGATTTTGGGATTAGCTTGAAGAGGGTTAGACTGTCTTAAGGAAGTCTTTGGAAGTGCTACAAGTCTTTAAAGGGTACATATGTGTCACTGAAGAGTGTGTGGGCAGTGGGGTGGATTAAAGTCTGTGCATCTGAGAAAAAAATGAAAGATTTAAGAGTTAAGGAGATAGAAAAACGCACACAAACATGTATTTAATTAGACTGTTTATTTAAATCGGCATTTTTTAAATGCAGTTTTAATAAATAATTAGCCTTTTAATTATTCCTCACAGATTTAAAAGGCTAATCCTCACACAATATATATATTTTCTCAGTGTAAACCTGTTGTTGTTTGAAACTTTAAACATATTACTTATTGGAGAGTATTTCTCATTCTCAATTGTGAATTAGTCTGTTCCACATTAACTCACCATAACTCACATTTATGTGTCCGTGCCTTCTGTTTGCTCTTCAGTGATAACCTGTCTTAAACTGCTCGAGATATTGGACTTGAGTTAAAAAGCGTCTTGCACACGTGCTCAGTGTAATCTGCAGAGCAGCAATGATCCAGTACAGTTTTGAAATGAAATCTAGATGTGTTGCTCTATTATGTTTTTGTAACAATAAAATCTAACCAGTTTAATGAAGATGTAGAGGTATATGGGGCTGGATATATATTGTAAATTATCAGTTATGAGTTAAGCTCATAAGATATGCATTTATTATGCAAATAACCTCGTTGTTTGGGCACCACCTCTTTTTAGAGGAAAAATCGGTCTCTCATTTAACCCCAAATTAATGTAAACTGAAACGTGAATTCTTTTCTCGTGTTTAAAGGGTATCAAATCAGTTAATACACACAAATATGCCAAAGTAATCACAAATTTAGTTGATTTTATGTATTTTATTACAAAAATAATTAGGGATGCACCGATCCACTTTTTTTTACTTCCGATCCGATCCCTATACCTAAATCTGAATATCGGCCAATACCGATCCAGTTCCGATATCATGATCATCATTGATTTTATATGAGGCTGTAATAATCTCCTCTCAAGTACAATTTGTACAAATATATGCATGCATGTCCAAAAAGGCAACTTGAGGTAAGTTTTATTAATTTTGGATAGGTTTTAAAGTTAGAATTAAATTCTGCTAACACAAAACATGTTTATTTTTATTCCTAGCTTTAAAGTGGATATTAAAGTGATTAATTTTAAGTGATTGTTTAAAGTTATTTTATATTTTTTTAAATAAGGGGCAGGTATAAGAATTTTTTTTCTTCTTTCTGCACTCTTTTCATTTAATGTTTTTTTTTTTCATGATTTAAAAAAAAAAAAAATTCTTTTAAATGAATGAATTAAATTAAATAAAATGGTAAATGGCTTCAAACACCTGCTAAGTTCATGGCATAAACCAACAGACATGTTCCTGTTTTTAGTATTTTACATCACTTTATAATGTAGCTGTTTTTGTTTTTAATATAATTTTCAAATCATATGTTTTTTTATGATTGTCTACTGTGTTACTGATAAATATCTCCTGGAGAGTAAACTATATCTTGGCTGCAAGAATCAAGCTGTGAAATCCTTCATTTTCTACAACTGATAGGGGTTGGTCATGAATCATGATGAAGTTTAGCAACTTCTCTGTAAACATTTGAGCTCCGTGGTTTCAGCGATGTCTTCTTCTTGTTCAATCCGAAGCAAGCAGCGTGATTTGGGCCAGCCGCGCTCAGTCTGTCCCTCCTCGGAAACGGGCAGACTGAGCAGCAGACTGAGATTGGACGCAGCTGGCTGGGGTCGAGTCGCCTCTTTCCGGTTGAGCAAAGAGCAGCGCCCCGCTGAAGCCACGGAGCTCGAATGTCAAACGTAAAACTAACTTTACCGTGGTTTAATGTGGCGCTATGGTTGTAGCTGGCTGCAAACTATAAAATTAATTTCCTGAATGTGAGGCGGGTCTTATTACTCTGGGTTCATGAGACACGCCGCCGTTCAGGAAATCCATTCCGTAGTTTGAAGCCAACATGCATCATGGATCGGAAATATTGGCAGGTGGATCGGAAAAATCCGATACGTAAATTATGCTGGTATCGGAGGCCGATACCGATACTGGATCGGATCGGATCGGCCCATCCCTAAAAATAATACTCTGTGATATATCTGATGAAGATTATGCATGACAAAAGTTAACTGAATAACAAAATAGCTTTGCATCAAAGGTCTAATTGATTATTCAAATCAGTGAAACTTAAAAAGGCAGATTTTGGACTGGTTCTGTTTGTGAAGTAGTTAAAATTTGTGTCTAAAGTGAGCTAGGTTTGCAGTTGTGATAGGTTCACCAGAAGTGCATTGAAGAGTCTCTCTCACCAGAACGAGATGTCAGAATATTCCACAGCTGCTTAAAATGATACCAGCAAGGCCTGAGATGCTCCGGTGACTGAGAGGCTGATTGTCTCCTCAAAGTTCACCCATCATTGGTTGGAGGGACGAAGGTCCGGCCACTGGCTCTGAAATCAGCTGGGATTTACCACTCTGCGGTGTGATGGTTCTGGTTCGGTCAGGTTCTCTCGTCCTGAGACGTTTGCAGAAAAGATGCTTCTCTTCTTATTCTCTTCCTAAGATGTCTCTTTAGGAGGATGCGTCTTTCTCTGAAGTTTGCTTGAAGCAGTTCAAGTGTGTTGTGTAGGAGATGTCGTTGATGAAGAAGTAGAAGTGAAGAAGTGCTTGTAGAAGAAGTGATTAAAGAAGTGAAACTTAACTTAACTGTCCGTGTTTCAGAGGTGAAGGTCCGCCTCTCGGAAGAGGTATTCCTAACTCTTTGTCATGTTTTATAAAGTCTAAAGTCCATTTTCTCTGTCTTCCTTTAAAAGTTACTCTTTCAAAAGAGACAAATAAGATAAATGATTATCTTAAAGAGAGATTACTTAAAACATATATACATTTTCATGAATAAACATTCAGGAATGAAATAAAACAGAAAATGACATTTCGGAGTTAATAGCAGGCAATGTTTCACCAAAAGGTGTCACTGTCCATCCCCTGAAAAGTAAATGTCATTAAACAAAGGGTTCTTTCATGTGTTATCTGCATGGGAACCCATCCTGGAAGTAATACTCCTTTTTGATAAAGGTAAAGTCTCAGCAGATGTTTCAAACTTCGAGGTCAGTTGAACCAAAACTACTTAAAACGATCTGTCCGTTTCATGGAAAATGAGTTCATATTGGCGGAGGTTAACACAGTGACAGTTTTTCTATTATATTCACTTTAATGTCAACTAAGAATTTTGTGAGCTGAGTTGAACACCTGTAAACCAAAGTCTGTTTGTTCCCAAGGGAATAGATGCATCTTTTTTAAACAGTTTCAAACACAAAAACACATGAATGATGTTTCCTGATGCATGCTCAATAATCCAGGTAGAAAAATCCAAAAAAGTTCAATCTGGTCCTCTGGACATTCAAAAAAAAAAAACAAAGCAAAAAAATATAGAAACGTTTCGTCTCTCATCCGAGAGACTTCCTCAGTCTGAGGTGCTGTATTCAGCTCAGTCTCTTAAATAGCACCTCCTCAGAGTGGATCAACCAGACCCAGCGGTCACTCTTTCAGGGATGAAGATGTTCACATCCTGGATAGAGAAGAACGATGGTTTGAGAGAGGAGTAAAGGAGGCCATCTTTGTGAAAAGAAATCGTCCATCGTTAAACAGGGGTGGAGGCCTACGTGTTCAATTGTCCCCCTCTTACAATGCTGTGATTGCTAGTATCACTCAGCCCTCTGTGAATTGTAAACAGCCATCAGTGTGCTAATGATCCATTGTTAGGCTGATGGTCCTTCTTGAGCATGTGATCAGCTGGTTTTGGTTGTCAGCAGCAAAACTGGTTGATCCACTCTGAGGAGGTGCTATTTAAGAGACTGAGCTGAATACAGCACCTCAGACTGAGGCAGTCTCTCGGATGAGAGATGAAACGTTTCTATTTATTTATTTATTTTTTTTTTTTTTGAATGTCCAGAGGACCAGATTGAACTTTTTTGGATTTTTCTACCTGGATTATTGAGCATGCATCAGAATATTTTGAATCACTTTGGCCAGGATAGCCTCAAACTAGTAAGAGAGTTTGAGAAAACAGCAAGGAAGAGGGCAGACTACAGGAACCATTTGCGATTCAACCTCAGATGTCGACAAAGTGGCATCATTCCCAAGAGCCTGGAACTAAAATCATTGGTCAGCGGGCACCGGGCAAGCAAGATCCTTCAGAAGGCACAGACCCAGCTGCTGAATGAACGGGTGAGACAGACCAATTTTACTATTGAGGCCTTGAAGGCCAAAGAAGAGCACATTAAACAGAAACTAACTATGTGTCTAGATCAGACCACACTTCAGCAAGTGTTGGACTGTACAGATCAGGCACGCTTAGCACAGCATGTCAAGTCCAAGACTCGACAACAAAACAAGTTTAACTTACTAATAACTCATCAACACCATCACTA